TTACAACAACATTGAACGTGGGGAGAGAGGAGAGCTAGGGAAATTACATTTTATAAAATCCTAGCAGACGTTCAATTCGCTCAAATGTTCTTTAGATAGCACAGAATGGCTTGACCAACAAGCGATAATAATACAGGTTCTGTTATAAACCGTAGTTTAGCTAAAACGTCTACTACGGAGCTTGAGGTTCGTTGGTCATCTTTGTTTGACATCGTAAACCGTCAACATTCCAAATTGCAACATTTTGCAAGGGTGCGCATTGCTGTGCGTCAATCTTCCGGATTATCATTAATTCAATCATGGATTTTGTCACTTTTGTTGTTTGGATATATTATAATTGAGAGGATACCTATCCTCCGAGTTAGGATTCTCGAGTTGGATTTCCGAGTTGGATTTCCGAGTTGGATTCTCGAGTTGGATTCTCGAGTTGGATTCTCGAGTTGGATTTTCGAGTTGGATTTTCGTATAGGATTTTCATTTTATTTATATATATATATCATATATTAAATAAAACAGAGATATTATAGCTTCAAGTTTTATCTAATTTTATTCTACTTATATTTGTATATATTTTTAGCGTATCCCTTGAAATATATTCTTGAAATATATTCTTGAAATCCGATGCTTTATTATGTTGATTATCACTGTGCGGGGAAATACGTCAGTAGGTGATCTGGCATAATGTCCGTGGTAATATCTTCATTATTTGTGCCTGAATGAAGCATGTAGGTATTTCTCTGAAGTTCATAGAAAACTGATAACAATAACGAAAAATTGTACCTGAGATCTTTGTTTAACGTCTAGATCTGCTTTATATCCTGTCATAATCTGACGACAAACAAATCATCCGTGTAGCGCATTCTCGAGTTGGATTCCTCCGACGTAAAGTAATATGTTCGTGAGAGCAATCAAAAGTAYRTATACCCTGCGARTAGAGTGTTATTTACCTTACCTCGGTAAAAAAAATCGCGAATTAGGTAAATAATAACACTCCGTTCGCAGGGTATATTTTTATTGACAACACGGTATTGCGTGACATCACTTTTTGTTCGACCATTAACACGTCGAATCCGTCATCGATTTCAACCTAAATGCGCTTGAAGAGACTTGAAGCCGTTTTCTGGCTGGTATTTTTTGTTAKTRTSTGTCGAGGATACCTATTCTTCGAGTTAGGATTCTCGATCTAATGATATAAAAATATACAGTACTACAGTATTCCATATTATTGATACTGATTAGCGAACGAGAACTGTATGCGGGAACTGTATGCGCTACACGATCCTACACGGGTGATCTGTTTGTCGTCAGATGATGAAAAGATATAAAGCAGATCGTACTAATTATTTTAATTATTCTAAAAACAACGTTAAACAAAGATTGTAGGTACAATTTTTCGTTTATTGTTTTTACGAGTACGGTATATTTTCATAGTTAGATCATTAGAAATAGAAATAGYTTAGTTTAAAACGACATTTTGGCAAGTCAAGTTCGTACAAAATGACAAGTTTGGCTTCTTCTCTTCAAATCAAATTCTTGCACTGACCGACAAGTACAGCCAAGAAATGAATAGTTCATATTCGATATTGTTATCTTCCTTTTTTTTTTGCCTATCAAAGAACCGGTTCCGGTTTAAAAACAAAAGAAGTGACGAGATTGAAAAATTTAAAAGCGCGCTTTAAAAAGCGTTCACATTGGTCTATAATTTTAAAGCGCGCTTAAGAACGAATAAAGCTACTTCGAAAACCTCTAKWGTGCTCKGACTGTACATTTTATGCGCTACACGAGTGGTGATTTCTTTGTCGTCAGATGATGACAGGATATAAAGCAGATCTAAACGTACCTCGATCAGCAAATAACAACGTAAACAAACAATTTTTCGTTTATTGTTATCCATTTTTTACGTTTTCAAGCGAAAAATATATACATAAAACACCAACATGAAGCTTTAATATCTCTATATGTTTTTGTTATGTATATAGTATAAATGAAATGAAAATCCTCGAGAATCCAACTCGAGAATCCAACTCGAAAATCCAACTCGAAAATCCAACTCGAAAATCCAACTCGAAAATCCAACTCGAAAATCCTAACTCTGTTGTTAGTATATCTCTATAATTGACTGTATTCTTCTCGAGTTTCGGATCTTGAGTCTTCAAAGCAGACAATTGATTTATCAATTTCAAGTTCAACTCTGTTTTAATTTTGTTTACAGAAAGGAAGATACTACCAAAATCATGACATGCAGCGTTAAACACTGCACCAAGTATCCCTTAATTGCTGTTCTACTTTCATTGTCACCACTCGCTATAATCGCAAGTGAATTTAAAATTTACCGCTCCCGTTACCAAGGTGATGATGATCTTTTCGTGACGTCAGAGTCAGTGTGCAAGACAAGCAACCTGAGTTGCCATGACTACTACGCAGAGAAAATTACATGTAACAAATGTTCCTGTAGTCATGATAACGATACGTTTGGATATCTCAAGGGTATGTGGAGGTGCTTTGGAGCAAGAGAACTTCGACAAGATACAGGTAAAGCTAGAAGTACACGGGCTGGAATTATAAAGGTGGAGAATATTATCACTCCATTCAATTATGGGACTGCGAAATGTTTATCAGGGCGGGGAGTGCATGAGGTCGAGAATACAGAGGGAGGCGCAAAATCTAGTGCTTAAAGAGGGGGCAACGTCTAAAATTAAATAGAACTTTAATTGGAAACTGAAAAATCAACGGTGTCAGATTCTGTGCTTTTTAGTTGGCCAAATACTTACTGAAGTGGAAAACTCAATAAAAGCCGCTACGATTTGCGACAACTCTTTATTCACGAATAATAAATAAATAAATTCATACCTGGGATAGCACTGTTTACCCTAGGGCTACATCCCTCGTCCCTAAGCTAATCTTGGTTATCAGWGKGGTGTCACTTCCATTTTCAAATTGATTGGAGCTGAAGGGATCGAGTTCATATTGCGCATTMGTATAAACATACTAATGGTCTATCACTCATACTGCGCGGTGATTGGCTACTCTACTAATGGTCTAATTTGTGATAAACCACTCGCGGGAAAATCAATCTCCTTAATAMATTATTTTAAGGATATTTCAATTTGTTTTCATTATTTGACCGATTGGTATGTTTATACTAAAACAATTAGACCTCTCGGCCTCGTAGACTACGAGCTAATAGCCCATTCGGCCTCGCGGACTCGGCCTCATGCCGATGGGCTATTAGCTCGTAGTCCACTCGACCTCGAGGTCTAATTGTTAATTAGAAGGTTACCAAGGTTTCAGTTTTTAGGCAAATGAGAAGTGACTTCTAGTTTTTCATATCAGAAAGTTACGCAGTTTTCCAAAAAAAACCGGATCAGTCATGCCATTTTTAAGTGATAYTGAATCATCATGACGTGCGCTGATGTCTATAGTGTTCYTTTCAAGGCAACTCTATGAAACCTCTGTGATACTAAGACTGATAGCTGTCTATCAGTAAACGCAGCTGATTAATGTATTATTACCATTATGTCTATATTGTCTTGAGAATCGTATCTGACTTGTTAACATCACCAGGTTGTTTTGTACGAGGCGATGCATCAGATCCCCTTCCAGTAGTCTCAACTAATGACCATCTACGACTAAATCTGTCATTACACGCCGAGTGTAGATACATTTATAAACAGAACACTTACTACAGGACATGCGATGGCAAGTGGTCAGCGGCTGGTGGTATAGGAACGTCTCGATATGACCTCTTTGTTAATAAGGAAACAGAAACAGGGAATCCTGACAAATATCAATATTGGATAACGGTATGACATCATTGATTCTAGAGTCCTCTTGTAAGTCCGAATAAAGAACATTCCATTGCTCCCGACATTAAATGAAGCAAATACGCTCCGGGCGMGTGTTGTAGGGCGGATAGTGGCGGGTGTGGTTTAGAAATTAAAGTAGGAAATGTTTAGATAAGATATGTTTAATCCAGCGGTCGCCCCTACAAGTTTCTCACTAAGACCGACATCATGTGATGTCAAAATGGAATTTTTTTTAAAAATAAAGTTCTTCAAAAGTGTAAGTGGAAAGATGTCGGCATTAAATAAGCCCGGAATTTTCATTGTTCAGTTTAGTAAAGATGCTGTGAACGTTTTGAAACAAYAGGATAGCGAAAAACAGGTCTGGGAAGCCACAGGCCGGGGAAAAAAATGGGGTTTGAGCATTTTTTTTGTGTGTGTGTGTGTGTGAAGGGGGGGGGGGAAGGGTGGAGGGCGCTTTTTAATCGATTTTTACTTGTAAGTTATACAAATTTGATTATGATATTCTAAAATCATTAAAGCTTAGTGACTAGTGTTTCTTAAGTTATGTGTTTATTTCATTCAGGTCAAAACCGACGCAGACGCAAKTCGTGCTTTTGCGGGACGAATTATGAAAGTGAACTTTGAGTGTAAACAGCCTAACGTGAAGCCCTGGTACGAGTGCTTTGTGTTTAAAGAGGAATATGTATCACAACCTGTAGTATGTAAGTACCGCACAGCACCTACTACATCAATCACTTTGGACATTGTTCAGGGTCTTAATGGGGGGGGGGGGGTCTGGCAATGTCGGTAGTCAGTTAAAATTTCAAGCATTTGTCGCTAGTCGGTTAACCCCATTCAGACCCTGATTGTTTAGTTCTCATCGCAATCATATAAACCACTGAAAACCAGAATCAGACGACAAGAGCAATCATCCTCTTTAGAAAGATAAAAAACATTTCTACATGACAAGTAACTCAATCGAAAAACACTTCAGGTTCAAAAAGGTTATATCATGCAAAATAAGATAAGGGGATTTGAGCTCTTGTGTATTTGCCTAAACATGTACATGAAGGTCTCAATGGGGTTAACCGTGAGCCGTGAAACGGCTGAAAAATTAGCCGTGAGTCGTGAAAAAGCCAAATTTGTAGTCGTGAGTCGTGATTTCCCCCTCCCCCATTGAGACCCTCTAATAAAGTTATAAAAGGTCTTTCCTTATTTAGATACTATTTTGGGGATTTTCTTGTACATTTTAAAAGTTTTTAAGTGTGACAAGAAAGACCGTGCATTATTCAGGTCCATTCACAAAATGCTCATTAGATAGGACGGCCCTCTATCATCTGATAACGCTAACATTGCCCGCAAAGGCATTCCTAGATTACTTTTGAGCATCGATCTTTTTTTATCAGCCGAAATGCTTTTTTGCATTTTATTCACTCATAATACCATGTTCATTTTTTTGACCAATTTATTTCCCATGATTCCGTTTGACCTCATCTTCTCTAAAGCAACCTCTTAGAGCGTTAGTTTTTTTTAATTAGATGTAGATTAATTACTAACTTTACTAAATGATTATACTTCTGAGAATACTATCCTGCGTTTATCCATACATTAATTTCTCTGTTTGTTTTTTCATAGGTCCAAAGTCGATGGCGACGGTCATTCCCTCGGTTAAGTCCGAAATATCAACCAGACAAAATTCTACCATCCCTCCCCTCCCTGATACCACRACACCTACTCGTTCGACAAAAGAAAACGTTACTGGACCTACAACTAGTTTCGTAAGTCGGTTGTTCTTGTCGTGTAGTTAATGGGTAGTATCGTCGTGTACCGTGTAACCAAGTACGTCATATGTTTCCGAACACACGAGTGGGACTTAGAAAAAAAATTGATCCCGCAGATAAGACTCGAACCTGTGAACTCTAAATATGACATATCCGATCATTAACCCTAAACCTAACCGGTTACGCCACGAGTGAATTCACTTGGTTGCACTCCTTTTTTTTCTAGTATTTAAACAATTTCTCATTAACATTTCACTAAATAATTAATATATAAGAACGAAGTGAACACGAATTATGGTCAGGATAATTTGCATACGGTAAATTTACATTACAATAAACTCCCCTGAGGTTTCCCTTACACGACGATAATACCAGTTAATGTCATTAGCGAACTTAGGCTTTGACATTGAAATGAGCAACCTTAGTTGCCTCGAAGGGATACTTGGAACACAGGAGGATGACATGAGCATGTCATCTTAAAACCGACTCATGATATGCTTTGATCTTTGGGATCCCTTTTTGAGAGCTGGTGACTGAGAATATGCATTAATCCCAAAAATCAAAGACCTCGAGGGTCCAAACACTACTCATGCGTATCATCCTCTCGAACCATTAGAACGTAAGCCATTTCATGCTACAYTTAAATTGATATTATTATTTTTTTCTCAGGTCGAAACCTCCATGACAAGCAACATAACATAYTACGGCAACCAAGATAACGAAGGCACCAGGATTAATAAACACATGATCATTGGTGTGTCAGCGGCTGGAGCAGCTCTGCTCGTTGCCTTGGTGATCACAATATGCATTATATGCTGCCGGAAACGTCAGAGGTTTTTCTCATAAAATTATATCATTATTGGCGTTGTGACCACCGTTATATCAACATAACACTACCAGTATACTATACATCCAAATGATCCCTCCCTGTCTTGTGAGGGTTAACTCAATAAAATTTTGTAAGGCTTACCCAAGATTTATAGCATCGAGCTTTGAACAACACTACCCAGACAGCTGATAAGTGGCTAAAATGGCGACAATAAACGTTTTCGTAGTCAATCGCCTTCTTCACAGTCCCAAAACCGCAAAACAAAGCTGGAACCCCCATCAATAAACCCCTGCACACACCTGGAACCCAGTTATCTAGTTTTGTTTTGTTTTTTGTTACTCCAGTTATCATACTAATCGTCATCATCACCAACAGCGTAATTATTTGCCATTGCAAGTCACAATTAATCATGTAATATATTATATATACATTTTTTTCCTTTTTTTGTAGAAGAGACATTTCCAAGTACACCGCAGCCCTTTACGACTCAACACAGGTCGTGTGTAATATTTCTTGTATTTTACACTATACATTTAGAATGTTAATTGTTCGTATTTTCCAAGCTTCGAATGATGTATTTGTTTACAGGGTTCTGCTGGGATATATGCTGAGACAAGTATACGACTTCCATCTTCTTCAAAGTCTTTTACCCTAACCAGTAAGAATGATTCTTTTGTTTAATTCATCATTCTTCAGCATTTWTTTTTCTTCCGTCCTTGTTCAATCATTATCGTTTGAGTAAATCTTGTGAATAGCAAACGAAGGATTATACTTCAGGAGGAGTCAACGGGGTCTTTTCTTCTAAATAACTGTTCTTGTACGATTTTTTTTCCTGGGAAAGGGATTTTGAGCTACATTGTGGACAATCTCACAAGCAAATGTGGCGCCCTTCCTACTTAAAATATTTTTGTTCCTGGCAAACGTTTTTGTTTTAGGAAATCTTTTTTTTCCTGGGAAAAATTCTTAAAAGGTATTGCATGCCTGGAGAGCTCTTTTTTCCTGAATTTCTCTCTGGCAACCAGTTGTGACTGACAGCTGGTTGGGACATAAGAACAGATATATTTCTCTCCCAGGAACCCGTCGTCTCCTCCTAATACCTGTTATTTTKTGTGTGATATCTCTAGTGTCCAAACATAATAGCAGATAAACGCTTCTTTGAGCTGTTCATGGTTCATTTTCATTCTACCTCGTTATTTTTTGGTCTTTTTTAAACTCAACTAAAGAAATATTAAACCAAACTAATTTTCGCCAAATATTTGCAGTTTGGTTTGCTTGGTTGTGAGGTAATAAACGTCACTAACWATAACGGTTGAAGTCAGTATTCGCTCCTCGATCTGATTGAACTGGGACTGAATTAAACCCAGCGAGTAGAGGAATTGTTCAGGAAAAAGGGCTCTGCTCGCTGGATAATTGACTTATGGAATSAGTCTATCTGAAAAAGAACTAAATGAATATAATTGTATTTCCTTTTTTGTTAGGTCATAGTAATCCATCATACGAGCGAGGTCGAGACTTTTCAATTAAAATAGCTGATTCTCAAAAACAAAAACCCAMAGCACCCTCTAGTCCTCCTCGGTTRGCCTTAACCAACGAGTCGTTCGAGGATGACACCACARCAGTCACTTCAAAAATACAGGAAATTCCTCGTTGTCCTGTGAAACAGCGTGGAAATATGCTGGTGAAATATGAGAATGTGACCATTTTATCCGACGTGCGACCAGGTAAAAATGTGTTCATAGATCCCTTTCAAAAATGCGAAAGAGCATTCCCAACTGCAATCAGTAATTTTCCCAGTCGGTGCATTTCTTGCCTACTGCAACTATCAGCTTACAAATGTCATCTGTCAATATTTAGAGAGTGTTCCAGATGCAGAGATGTTTTATGACAACCCCGGAGCAAACGCCCCCCAGTACCAAGTTCTTGAAAATCCGGCCGAAGACGCRCCGAGCTATGGCGAGTATCCTCTGAGATTGAATACCAATAACTCAGTCAATCAGTCAACCRATAAGTCCTCTGAAGACTTCAATGACGTTAATGATTGCATCGCCGATGATGTAGCTGATGACGGCACGGTTGAACCAATCTACGCTAACACTCCCGCAATTGTTTCGAACAACTCACAGGAAAATAGTTTTTCTTTTGAAGTTCCTGAACAGGATGATAACATTGTGGTTCAAGAGTCAATTAATAGAGACGATGATGTCTATRCTAACTCAGAGGCTATGAAAAGTTCCTATTCAGACGTCCAGTCAGCACATAATCACGCGTATGTTGACGACGAGGACGATGAGGCGTCGCATAGTAACGAACCAATTTACGACAACCATTCGATTATGAATAATACTAGTAGCTCGGGGGGCTCGCCCCTGCTAACTAACCAATCACATCAAGCTATTTACCAGGATTTAAAAAGTGAACAGGCTCAAGAATCTGACTATCAGCCGCTGACACCAGTAATCGATAGAAAGCCAAAACCAAAGCCAAGACCGAGAGTTAAGCGACAATAATACAAAGTCTTGTGCCTAGCACAACCTTTCGACAAGGTTATTTTGTTAACTTAAAAAAARCAGCTTTGATTGAAAAGTGGGTGGAAATCCGATGTTTGCCCATACACTGTGGTGATTTACTATTGATATAAGGTGATATAAGGTGAAAATGCGTCAAACTTTGAAAATATTGTACATATTAATAATTTCAACAATTGATGGAAATGTGATRTTTGGCAGAAGTTCTTTGGTTGTTTTCATATTAACTGATTTTCTGAAAGATTGAAGAGTCAATATGTAGCATATTAGCAGATGAGGTGAAATGAGYGRCAACAGCTTGAGCAGGAAAGCGAACTGTTGRGAAGAGGTCAATCGATCTGTAAAAATATATATACAAAATATTTTAGTGATTCCACGCGATTTCCCCCAATGTGATTCATGAYCCTCTCACTACACTGCAGTGCTGCACTGTGCAATATTATTCAATACTGTCTGAAGTTAAACATGATCTATAGTAGATATGAACATTTCCGCACGTACTACATCTCACTTGTTTAAACTCCTAGTGTACAGAAGAAAAGGACACAAGATGAATGAGATACCRAATATGTTCATATTTCTAGTTGATATTCAACATTAAATAGAATTGGACAGAACGTAAGAGCAATATTTCGGTTTTATTGCAAAACCATCATCACTAGAAGTGTATAAAACGCAAAAACGCAAAGACAATACAATATGTACTGTATAGAAAAGGACACAAATACAAGTTTTAATTGTAAAATTCGTCGTCTTCTATTCTATAATCAGTGAGATTACTATTTGTTGCCTAAACGATATTTCAACTTTACAACAATTTGACTGTCGTAAGAATATAATCCAAAAAACAAGTTAAGCCAGTTAACGAACGGTAGAGAGCTAACCCTACTTGTCACATTCCATACTCCGCGCCTCAAGAACTATATGAAAACGCTAATGAAACAAAGCAATGTGCTCTAGTAGAGGAAATGGATCCATATCGATGGTAYTGTCTTTCTCTGGGAGGAAGCCTTGCTTTTTTAAATGCATCTTTTCTAGTCCATTGGGGCACATTTTATCGATTTCAACAACATCAGAATAAGCAAGACGAACGCTCCGAAGGTCTCAGCTTCCAAAGATCTAATTCATTCATCGAAGACAAATAAATCTTGTAATCGACAATAGCTGAATACCAAACATTGACTCCCAGCTTCGAAAATCAAATGTCCTCGTAAAACACAGCACAGCGCCATTTTCCGGCCACACAGGTATCCCTCTGCACTACAGATGCTATTTGGTTTTGGGAGTCGAGCTTAATCAAATACCCTTCAATACTTCATTAGTCATGCAGCTGAATAGATGACCTGCGTGGATAAGACGAGGAGGAAGCCTTTGCGAATGGTTTAGAAACTGTCTTCCTGGTGGGAGTCTCTGCAAAGTTAAAAAAAAACAAAGAGAAGAGGGAAAGGGGAAGTCACTGACATGGCCAACAGTCGAAAAGATGAGGGTGGGACGAAAGGACATCCAGAAGGATAAGACAGGTTGTTGTCATACGGTACTATAAGAATGTTGTGGTTATGATACACATGATGTTATGGTGTGACAAACTGGTGATCAGCACCAGAGAACTACCAAGTGACACCAGTCAATCTGTGATGTCACGAAAGATGAGGAAACGGCAAAAGCTTGACGTGCTCTAGGCTTGATAAAGAAACACTATATTTTTATCAATGATATAGAGCTAAGTACTGCTGTTCTTTTTTTCATTTACATTTTCATAAAAAAATTTATGTAAAAAATTTTGTGTTTTTTTTTATGTTGCGATTGGTCATGGGACGTCACTGAATTCCCTTTTAGAATCAAGAAAGTTAATTGTTTGAAATACCTAATCATTCAATTATAATATTCTAAAGATAACAAAATTGAGGCATATTATTCACGACCAAGTCTTTTCATGTTTTAAGTTAATATATAACAATTGAAACGAACATAGCTCTACCACGGCGAATACCGATGGGGCTCATATTCAGTATCGATAAGTAACTCCTATTTGTACCAAATTTGATGCTTCAATCATAAAACCCTCAATTTTTATAACACCAGTGGTAGGACTAAAACGTATTACTCTGGTTCCAAWGGTTTTCYCTTCTTTTATAGATGTTTTTTAGTATCTATCGTATTTTTGTCTTTGCTTTCGCAAGAAGAAACCCTCTGGTCGGGACCGTTGAGAATCTCTCTTTCATGCCACCCGCTTCGGATGACAGCTGTCAAAAAAGCCATTTTTTGTCTGCCAATCAGAAGAAAGGATAAATTATGTCCACCCCAGGGGTATATTTTCTAGCCAATCATATTGCTGCTTTAGAGATTTTAAAAATGATTTCCACCAATCACAAACGTCGATCCGAAGTGGCATGAAAGTGAGATTCTCAACGGTCCTGACCAGAGATTTTCTTCTTGCGTCGTCAAATTTTAAAAGAAAAGACAAAAATATGATAAATAATAAAAAAAAAACATCTATAAAAGAAGAGAAAATCTCTGGAACCTGGGTAAAAACGTATTGAAAATTCTACAAATGAATTTTGACAAATAATGTCACGCAAATAATGTGTTGTCAGCAATGCCTTGATTAAAAACAATAAGAAACGGGAAGGAAGGTAATCATGGAGGAATGGTGACTGCCGTCATTTTGATATATGACTAAATTAGTTTGTCAATTAACCATTGTACTATGATCGATTTAACCAATGTTCGAAAAGAGAGCAAGCGCTCTATGAATAGACTTCGGAAGCATAGTTTGTAAGCTTCTGTTTAAAAAAACTGAAAAAATTAAGCTCAAAAAACTAAATGCCGGTTTATACAAAGGATTTTAATAACAAAACGCCATTATAGAAAGAAAACGTAATTATATCTTGCTTGCTTGACGTTTGCTCTCCCACCGTGTTGTTATATTAGACAGAAACACACTATTCCGTTTTGTATGCTTTAAGAAGAAATGAAAATTTGCGCTCAACTGAGGCCTGTTGGTACAATGAAATTCTTGAATTACATTGCGTCAAGTTGACATTTACCACGGTGGTGCCAGCAAATCGTGTATCATGCGTTTGTATCTTTTTTCTATTCACGGTCTGAAGGCTATTTATAAAAAATCAAGAAATTTCAAATAATGGCTTAGACGCGGCTCGTACAGTCAAACTCAATTAATGAAATTGTCAGTCTTGCCAATTGTATTTGCCGTGTAATGCACAAATTAATCGTGTTTGTCACAGAAAGTCACCTAATAAAAAAAGGACAATTTGCTTGATCTGAACCGTTATGAGAAACGACTCGCAGGTGTTTCAAGGCTTCAAAATATCCTAAAGCGAAAYTGACTTAACTAAGTAGTGTCAAATAATCAAATATTATTCGCGAAGTTACTAGAGAGACAACTGCGACTTTTCTCTTTCTGCTTTATGTTGTTCATTAGATTTGATAAAGGAAGGGTAATGATGTTCAATAATAATAAAACATGCCGTCATTCATTACCATGTCATCTCGTGATAGTACTAATAATTTCTTCATAAATCATTCACATATTTGGTTTGCTAGTTAAATATTGCTATACAATTGTGTCATGGCAAATTCGATGCAATATGTTGAAAACAATGTAAATAAGAGTCTAATTTTGTATATATCCCTGAAAAGCGCAAGCAATTACAGACATTGCTCTTGTATTTGCTCGTAGTCCTCCTTAACAACCTCAACTAGAGAAAAGAAGTTCTTGGAGAAAATCATGAATGGATCGAACTTCACACAAGAGTCMAGCATCTGTATTCGAGACGGAAGTGTTTTTGAGGGTGCAAAGGTCGCAGCAGTAATTTCTTTTGGTGGTCTGGGAGTTCTTGGAAACATCTTTATTATCATACTCGCTGCCAAGTACACAGAAAGAAAGAGCCTTCACTACTTGATCATCAACATGGCCGTTTCTGATATTATCGTGGTAATCATGTTCGCTTTAAGAATAAATGGTATTTCTCTACCAAGTGACACACCAACTCCACTTGCAGACTTTATTTGCAAAACACATGCTTTTGTGGAATACACTTCTGAACTTGTGACTGTGATTACATTATTTGTAATCAGCGTTGAAAGGTATCGAGCTACAAGACTTGCCTTAGACGCACCAAACTACTCAAGCCGCTTTTTGACCGCAGTAACTTTGCTGATAGCATTATTATTTTCATGTTACAGACTCGTCTTCGTGGAAGCTAGCAAGCCAACTTCAGATCAAGATTTCACTTGTGAAATTATGGCAACTAAAACCTTTAATGCTTTTTTTCTCCTGAGATCAATTTGCTCAATGATCTTGTATGGCTTAGTGTTCGTTTTTAGTGTGTTGACTTCTCTGAGTTTGCTGAAGGTTAATCCAGTACAATGCGATCTTTCCGAAGAGCAAAAAAGGCGTCGAGCGAGGCGGATTATAAATGCTGTTAAAATGGTATTATACTCGCTGCTGTTGTATTCAATATGCTATCTACCTGACTTTTGCGAAGACCTAATAACAAGCATAAACCCRGATATTTTGAACGGATTAAGTACGAATTGCAAAGAGTTGCTGGTCTTTATGCTTCATTTTCCGAAAATTATGAATTCGTGCTTGAGTCCTTTKGTGTACTTAGTCCTTCTTAGCGACTTTAAAAGGGCGGCCAAGAATCTGATATCAAGACAACAAGAACAGGCAACTAACAATACAACAACATAAGTAAATTGTGTATTAGATAATTAATGAAGCCATTTAAAAATTATTGCCGTTGACTGTGGGCAGTACAACCTGCCCCAAATTCGTTGAAATGCTTTATTGAGGTGCATGTACATTGTAACATTTCGAGTTAGCTAGGTATCTTATTGTTAGCTTACATTGCTTGATTGGCCGGCTTGAGATATCAGGAGGAGCCGTCGACGATTCTTCTTCTAAATAACTGTTCTTTTATGAATTTTTTTCCTGGGAAAGGGATTTTCAGCTTCATTGTTGAAAATCTCACAAGCAAATCTGGCGCCCTTCCTTCTTTAAAATAATTTTATTTCTGGCAAACGTTTGAAGGTCAAAAAAGGCTTATATAACGTTTTTTGGTCAAAAACGGCTTATATTTTTTTAGTTAGGAAAGTTTTGTTTTCCTGGCAAAAATTCTTAGAAAGTATTCCTTTTGGCTGGAAAGTTCTTTTTTCCTGAATTTCTCACTGGCAACCAGTTGTGACTTACAGCTGGCTGGGGCATAAGAACAGATATATATTTCTCCCAGGAAACCGTCGGCTTCTCCTAACATAAGATATTGTTGTTAAGGTGTATGTTTGCTTTACTTCGCGAAGAAGGAGAATGAGTGYGAGTCTTAGTAGCTCATGCCCAGTAAGCATTGCTTGATTGCGATTTAGACGAGTGGAAAAATATTGACTTTTCTTGTAAAGCATTTGACTTTAGCTAAGTAAATTAAGTACAATACTTGTTTGTTTTTTGTATGTAAACATGTTTATGTTGAAATATTTAATGAAAAAAGTATTTCATTGTATATAGTAACATTGAAGTACATAACATAAGTATTACTTGGAAGCATGTAACTTTTGCAGCTATGCTTTGTCAACGAGAAAAATCAAGATATTATAATTTCAAAATCCTTGAAGCATTTCTTGAAAATCTGAAGGCTGCGGAAATGTGAGAGACGTGTGTGATTGTGACGTGAGAAATGTGATTCCTTAGTAGACGTCACATTCGCACCAGGCCCCTGATTTCAAGGAGAGAGCATTTTCCCGAACTGTCGGGAATTCAAAATAGCGATAAATGTCGGGAACTCATCCGATTAAACACATTTTTGCGGCAAGTTACTATTTTGATATTATAGATAATCCTAGAATTTGAAGAAAATTGAGTTCAATTGCACATTAAGGAAAGTCTGAATGGGGTTACCTTATAAAAGGTGTATATTCAACTACATCGTATGCTTTATCTATTTGAATTATTTAGATTGCGTGGATGTCACTACTGTTGAAATGTTTAATTGTAGTTGTATTGTTGTCATTGTTACATCGTATATCTAGCTTGTGTAGAATGCTTTTAGTAGAATAATTATCGCCAGATAACTAGCATTGCCCATCTCGCTAGTAATCGAGTCACCATTCGATGTCCCAATAATCTGTTTTAAGACAACGTGCACACATATAACACTGAACTGACTTGTTCTTGCTGATACTACTTCAATAGACAAGAAAAGATAATTTAGCCGATGGCCGGAGGGGAATATTAAGTGAAGTTTGCATATTTGTGCTCCGCGTTCAGTCGACGTTGCTATGTAAAGGAAGCGCCTTGCCGGCAGCACGCCTATGTGTAAGTGTATGTAAAATGTGACTGTAATACAGCACTTCGACTTGAGAGCGCGTCGAGCTGCGTCTTTCGAAACTCAGCACCCGTGCTTCCATGAAGGACGATTAGCAGCCAACACCTTTTTCTTTTCCTTTTTCTTCCATTAAGAGAATCTGAGAAGGATCTGTCGTACCACTTCCATATATGGTTGTACATGAATGATGCTGATGTGCACATAGAAGTCGCTCATGTCCTAATTATGTKAAGAACTTAGGAAATTTTCAAAGACTTAAACTTAAACTGAAAAKAATTTTTTGAAGGATGCGCATTAAGATTCGGAACCAGCGGTTTGCATTACTTTAACACTAACCCTAACCCTTTTTTTCCTCTCTAAACCTAACCATGAAGCCATGAAATCAATTCGCTTGTGTGAACTTGAAWATTTGTGATATTCATGCAACGGCATGC